CTTTCACCCAGCCCCTAGAGCCTGGCACTTTGAACTTGGACTTAAAGCCTCCAAATTGTAAGAATAAACTCCTGTCTGTTAAGGCCATCCCATTTGTTTCTTGTCAGAGCAACACTAGGTAACCAGAACACAAGGTAACTGTGAATTAGCAGTTAGATGTCACATTCACTCACAGTGTTTACAGGACACACATGACTTGAGCAGTCATTGACTTTAATAGACAACAATATGAATGATTATGCATTAATATCAATTACTTCTGTTACATTTATAGATTTTAAATGGATTTGATAGGAAGGAGCTTTTTAATGTAATTTTCTTATTTCAGAATATGTGTTTTCTTTCTTTTCAGGACTTCCAATAGTAGTCAGACATTATCATCCTGCCATACTATGGAGCCATGTTCATCAGATGAATTCTTCCAGGCCCTTAACCATGCTGAGCAAACATTTAAAAAGATGGAAAACTATTTGAGACATAAACAGTTGTGTGATGTAATTCTGGTTGCTGGTGATCGCAGAATTCCAGCTCACAGGTAATTGCTTTCTAAATTTCTGTGTGTATGAAGTATTTCCTTGATAGTTTACTTCTCTGTGTTGAGGTAACATTGTAAAGGGATATTTCACTGAATTTCCATAAAGAAAATTGTTGTTGTTGTTACGTGCCGTTGAGTTGGACCTGACTCATAGCGACCCCTCCTTGGGTTTCAAAGGCGGTATCACTGTGGAAGTAGATTGCCCCATCTTCCTTCCGAGGAGTGGCTGGTGGATTTGAACCGCCAGCCTTCTGGTTAGCAGTCAAGTGCCTTAGGCAGTACGCTACCAGAGCTCCCATAAAGAAAACAGTGCCTATGAAATTATTACACATTAAATGACCCCAATTGGAAGGAAGATTGGACAATCTACTTCCATAGAGATACTGCCTCAGAAGCCCAAGAAGGGGTTGCTATGAGTTAGAATTGACTTGACAACAGTGAGGTTTTTTCTTTTTTTTTTCTTAGTAAATGACCCCAAAGGGTTATTTTCCCGCTATAGAAGCATGCAAGCAAAACACATTAGCCTTGATGCAGTCAGTATTATTTGGTATAAACATCAGCTGCTTTAAACAAATTTTATGCCACATTCTACCTATTAAATAACTTTAAAGTCAGTGGAAATTAGAGCTTAGAGGTATTTTTTTTTTTTAATTTTTATTTTTATTGTGATTTGGGTGAAAATTTACAGAGCAAATACACTTTCCATACAGCAGATCACATACGCTTTGGCTCATGATATTGACCACAATTTAGCACAATGCAACATCTTTCCCACTTCCTCCCGATAGGTACCGCTTCCCTGTGACCATCCCTCCATGCACTCCCCTGAGCTGTCTCCTGTGCCTGAGCAGCCCTTCTTTCTCTCTTGCTTGTTCTCTCCAAGGAGTATATCTACCTCAGATAAATGCTCAACTAGTATGCCTGTCTACTGCTTGGCTGGAAGCTACAGGTGTGTGTTCAATTCCAGACCTGAAGGGCAGCTAGGGGCCATAGTCTCAGTGGTTCCACCAGGCTCCATCGGGCCAGTAAACCTATTCCCCTCTTTTTTTTTCCCCCAAGTGATTTTGAGTTTTGTTCCACATTGTTCCCCCTGTCTATCCTGGATCTCCTACAAAGATTCTCTTCCAAGTGGTTGACAGTAGTAGCTGAGCACCGTCTATTTCTTCTGGTCTCAGTCGTGTAGGCTGCAGATCGGATGGTGTACCAGTTGCTAGGCCTGATTGTTTCCATGAATTTTTGGTTTTCTTCATTCTTCTTGGCCCTGGACGAGGAGAGACCCATCGTTGCATCTAGATGGCAGCTTGCAAGGTTTTAAGATCTCAGTCGCTACACGCCACAGTAGAAGGTGGAACAATGATTTGTGTAGTATGTTATGCCAATTGAGCTTGATGTCCTCTGGGACTATGGTCCCGAGCCCATAGGTTCAACTACTCGGTCCCTCTGGGTAGAGCTTGTAGGTATTGAGAAGCAAAAAAGCTGGTAGAATGAAATGGCTAAGAGTCTTCTGCATTTTGAAGTAGCCACATGTATCCCAACTTGTGCTTGTTGACCTCCCAGGAGTATGAAAAGCAGTGGTGCCATGGAGCAAAAGCCTTTAACACAAATGAAGTATTATTTCTTAAAGTAGGAAAAGGAAAAGAGAACTGTTTAATCAAGAATAATTCATTCTTTTCCTTCTGGTAGTTTCATATTCATATTCATTGTTAATCACCACTGTGATTCCAAAGATTTTTTTTATGCCGTCTCAAACTAATTAACACTGAGTCCCAAAGGTTTTTTTAAACCCTCCAAAGTGGAAGTAAATTCATTAGGAAGAATAGTGCTTGATTTTACAGTTTTCAGTGATTCAGTCAGCAAATAGATACTGAGATGCTACTACATATTGTGACAGAAGTCCATGTTATGAGTATAGGTTTATAGCACAAATATATCAAACTAAATTTTATTGAGGCACCTAAACTTTTAAATTTCTGAAGCTGAAATCATCACCTTACCTGCCCCCAACCTGTTATTTCTATGTTTTCTCAGTGTATAACATCATTTTATTGTTTAAGACAGAAACCTAGTAGTATTCTCCTTAACACCTCAGCCTTTCCTATCCAGTATAACAACAGATAAGAACCCCTGTTACCATTGTATATTTTTTACTCATCCAGATTTTATCTGTGTACAAACCTAATAAAAACTATATAATTATTTAATTTATATTTTTTACAAAATATCTCATATATATCCTATTTTATATGCATCTGTTGTAAAAAAAAGAAAAAAAAAACTTCTTTAAAGTGTTAAAAAGCAAAGATGATACTTTGAGGACTAAGGTGTGTTTGACCCAAGCCGTGGTATTTTTGGTCACCTCATAAGCATGCATAAGCATGATGAATAAGGAAGACTGAAAAAGAATTGATGCCTTTGAATTATGGTGTTGGCAAAGAATATTGAGTACACCGTGGACTGCCAGAAGAACAAATAAATCTGTACTGGAAAAAGTACAGCCCAAATGCTCAGACATGAGGGTGGCGAGACTTCATCTCACACACTTCAGACATGTTATTAGGAAGGGCCAATCCCTGGAGAAGTACATCATGCCTGGTAAAGTAGAGGGTCAGTGAAAAGGGGAAGACACTCAACAAGATGGATTAACACAGTGGCTGCAACAATGGGCTCAAACATAGCAATGATTATGAAGATGGTGTAGAACTTGGCAATGTTTCATTCTGAGTTGGAATCAACTGTGGCACTTAACAACAGCATATACATATATACATATATCTACGTCACATGTGTATACATATGTATGTCTCATGTGTATATATACGTGTGTGTATGTGTGTTTATATATACTGTTTACCGCTTACTATTTTTTGCTTTTGAAAGGAGCTCTGGTGGTGCTGTGTTTAAGATATTGGGCTCCTAACCAAATGATGAGTGGTTCAAACCCACCAGCTGCTCTGTGGGAGAAAGATGAGCCAGTCTGCTTCTGTAAAGATTTACAGCCTTGGAAATCCTATCAGGGTTGCTGTGAGTCAGAATTTGCTTGATGGCAGTGGGTTTATTTTTGCTTCATATTAGTATATGTCAGTAAATATAGTTCTACTTTATTTTTCTTAATTATTGCATAATATTTTTATGTGTATATTATGTAATTTATTTAATAAATTCTCTACTGAAGGCATTTGAACTTAGCTCAGGTGACCTCATAGCTTGCTGGCCTGTATTCTGGAGTGATCACTTTTAAAATACAAATACGAAAATTTTTGCATACTACTGTGGTTTCTTTTTCATATTCCATTAAAATGTGAGTCCTTTCAGACACTGTGCTCAGTATTTGTTGAATGAAATGAAGATAAAGAAAAGATGCAGTACTTGCCTCAGAAACACATTGTATAAAAATCTACTCATTCTTGTTACTTGAATTTTCTGTTCTCGACGGATTATGACAGTTTTTTAAAAAATTTTAATGAAAGTTTACCATAATAATTATGTTGGCAACTAACAGATTCCTAGCCTGTCAAGTAATAAAGTGGTAATATCGTTATACTTTCACTTGTTATATTAGTTTCCTGAGACTGCCTAACAGATTACATAAACTTGCTATACTTGTTTTGGAGATGCAGCATGGCCTAGTGGTATGACTTAAAGGTTTGTCCAAAAAGAGTCTACTGTTTTTGGACATACTTTTAAGTCTCAGTTTAAACCTTTAAGTTTCACTTTTGTGAAATTGTAGCATAGCATGTGTGTGTGTGTGTGTGTGTGTGTGTGAACTACAGAGTGGAAAAAAAAAGTGAGAGAGAAAGAATGTCAATATTGCGGATGTTTCTTCCCATCATTCCATTCAATGACTCTAGTCCCTGGAATGGTTTTAAGGTGAGAGAATCTCATAGTGTGAGCATCTCACTTTGCTGAATGTAATGCTGGTATTTAAAGTACATCCTTCAAATCTTTATCCCAGTGTCACCTTCCAATAAGACCACCCATTTAAACCTAACCTGTACTCCCAATTCCCTTACCCTACGTTTCCCCCCATAGCACTTACTACCTTTTAATGTACTGTAGAATTTACTTCTGCTATTTATTGTTTGTTTACCTCCCTTCTAGAAAGTAAGACTCCATGAGAGAAGGGATCTTTTGTCAACTTTGTACACTGATGTCCTCAAGTATCTAGAAAATTGTCCAGTACTTATTAGGTGTACATCAGAATTTTTTTTTTTTTTTTTATGAATGAATGAGTGAAATGAATAAGAAATTCTGAAAAGAAGACACCTGAATGGGCAATAAACATTTGAAAAGCCTCTCAACCTCACTAGTAATCAGGTGAATGAGAATTAAAATAGTGAGATGGCATTCAACTGATGGCCACAGTGTTTAACATCTGACAGTATTGTGGGGAAATGGGAACTCTTCTACCCTATTGGTGGTGGGGTATAAATTGGTACAGTATTTTGGAGAGCAGTTGGCAAACCTGAGGAGTAAGAAGAATGAAATTGGAGATGGATACAAAGGGAGCTTCAATTGTTAGCTGACTCTGTAATTTTTATTTCTTCAATAAAAGGAATAAAGTAATTTTATGTAAGTGTGCTGACATGGGAATATCTCTGTAACATCAAATGAGATGTGTGTTTCAAATCTATATACATAACTGTCTTAGTTCTCTAGTTATCCTATACCAAATACTCTAAATGGATGGCTGTAAAATAGGAAATTATCTTCTTACAGTTTAGGAGGTTAGAAGTCCAAATTCAAAGTGCTGGCTCTAGAGGCTCAGTGAAGGGCCCTTGACCCTGGGCTTCAGCTCTGCCTCTTGTTCCAGGCCTAGTGGAGCTGGAGGCATCTCCTAACTCAGGCAGCTTCAAGCTGCTGACGCTGATGAACCCAGAGTCAGCAGGTAAATTGGCAAAATCCCGACATCAGGAGGCAACATGGCAAGCTACTTACTGGTTCAAGTCCAGGAACTGGAAGTAAAGACTTGGCCAAATGCAGGATCCAAAATGTGCCAAAAAGCTTGAGATCTTTCTCAAAAATTCTCCATATGTACTGGAAGCAGGCCACACCCCAAAGGCACCTAATTTGCTGCTCACAGCAGATTCCACCATGGAATTGATTACACCACATCCCATTTCCTCATGGGGAATAACTTCATCCAGCTGCCAAGCCACTTAAAACCATGGCCTTGCCAAGGTGACACACATCTTAACCACCACAATAACCTATTTTTGTTTATGGACAGATAATTAACATAATGTATTATTGTAACACAATAGTTTTGTAGTATTATTAGAAAATGGTTTTATAACAAAATAAAAATATGAACTATAATAATGCAAATATTATCATAAAAGTTAAAATATTAGCTTGCTAAAGTCATTCCCAAATATTGCTACCACTCATCTATGAGTCTCAAATGTCTCCCATATATTCACTACTTCTATAATTAAATTTTAAATAAATAACTTAGATTATTTTCATAAGTATAAACAGAAAAAGGCCTTAACATTTTTTCTTTTTCTTTTCATAAAAAGCTTTTAGCTTTTGTTCTGGATGTTACAAAGCAGTAGCTAAGTAGTGAAAAGGTAAATCATTTATTTACCTCAGCAGAAAAGTTTCCATAATAATAATTTATTATTCAAGAGAAGGAAGTAGAGCATAAAGCAATTTGTCAAACTTAAAATGCATTTTCCATGACTGTGCACTTTCTATGGGTAACAATTTTTTTTCTAAGGAAGTATTTATTAATGAACATCAGCTTTATTATGGTCATTGAGGGTTTTTTTTCCTTCTAATATGTTGTCAGATTGGTGCTCTCCTCTGTCTCGGATTATTTTGCTGCCATGTTTACTAATGATGTCAGAGAAGCAAGACAAGAAGAAATAAAAATGGAAGGTGTAGAACCAAATGCACTATGGTCCTTGATTCAGTACGCATATACAGGTAATAAGTCTATAAATGGAAATTTAAAATCTTTTACATTCATATTATTACATTTCAGATTTCTGCTGTGAATATAGCATGCCAAGGCTAACAGTTCTTCTAATCACTACTCCTGGTGATACCTGCACAGGTTAAAGTCTCCATATTAAAGTTTTCTCATTGGTTATAATGATTAAACGTTTGAATGGTAAATACTAATAAAATATTTAGGTAAATTACATACATTTTTAAATTACTTCATTTAAAACTTGGAAGTTATACATAGTAGACATAAATTACTAATTATTGAAACATTTAAAAATTCTGAAAATAAGCTATTTATTTTTATTTAATTAGAAATTTTGAAGAGCAAATAATCTTTTCTTTTTGGACTCTTAAAACATATAGGTCTAAAATACATGTAGCAAGATTTTAGTAAGAAATATTACTGTTGACATCAGTCATTTTGTAAGCTAATGTCAATATGGTTCTACAGCTAATGGAGTTTCTTTTTATCATTAAGGCCGCCTTGAATTAAAAGAAGATAATATTGAGTGCCTGTTATCTACAGCTTGTCTTCTTCAGCTTTCACAGGTTGTGGAAGCATGTTGTAAGTTTTTAATGAAACAGCTTCACCCATCCAACTGTCTTGGAATCCGTTCTTTTGCTGATGCACAAGGTTGTACAGATTTGCATAAAGTGGCTCACAATTATACTATGGTATGTATTTTTTGAAAAGGAGAAAGGCATATGCTCTTTATCTTGTCTCTTACTGTTACAGACTTTTCTACATGTTGCTATTTTTTGATGGTTCTGCCATGTGCCTTGAAGTTCACATTCACTGTCTAACATGTCATATTTTCATTCACTTGTGAAAGAAAGACCCCAGGTAATATTTCTGCTAAGCTGGACTATGTGAGGAACATGGCATCGGGGTTGGAGGAAGACTCACTAACTACCTGGGATATGCAGATGACACAACCTTGCTTGCTAAAAGCAAAGAGGACTTGAAGCACTTACTGATGAAGATCAAAGACTACAGCCTTCAGTATGATTGCACTGCAACATAAAACAAAAATCCTCACAACTGGACCAATACAATAAGCAGCACCATGATAAATGGAGAAAAGATTGAGGTTGTCAAGGATTTCATTTTACTTGGCTCCCCAGTCAATGCTCTTGGAAGCAACAATCATGAAATCAAACAAAATATTGCATTGGGCAAATCTGCTATGAAAGATATCTTTAAAGTATTAAAAAGTAAAGATGTCACTTTGAGGGCTAAGGTGTGTCACCCAAGCTATGGTATTTTCATTCACCTCATGTGCGTGGCAAAACTGGACAATGAATAAGGAAGACCAAAGAATTAATGCCTTTGAATTATGGTGTTGGCAAAGAATTGAATATACCATGGCTTGCCAGAAGAATGAACAAACCAGAACGCTCCTTAAAAGTGAGCATGGCCAGACTTTGTCTCACACACTTCAGATATGTTGTTAGGAGGGATTGGTCCCTGGAGAAGGACATCATGCTAGTTGAAGTAGAGGGTCAGTGAAAAAGAAGATCTTCAACAAGATGGATTGACATAGTGGCTGCAACAGTGGGCTCAGGCATAGCAGTGATGATGCAGAAGTGTGCAGTATTCTGTCTGGTTGTGTATAGGGTCGCTGTGTGTCAGAACCAACTCAACAGCACTTAACAGCAGTATTTCTCCTGGATATGTAAGTCAAGCCCTAAGTTATTACAGTCACTAGGAAGCATAGCAGTGGTCTAGGACTATCCCATTCAAGATTTCAGATCAGCTGCTTTTTAAAGCAGGCTTCTCCAAATATTTTACTTTGTAGTGCATATATGAATTTAAGAATTGTCCACAGATTTACCGATGGAAAGTGGTGAAAGTGGTTGTGGTGTTTTGGTACCATACTAATACAGCAAGTGGGATCAAATGGAGACTGTTTTATTAATAAATGATCATGTGATATACATTGATTATATGTAAAAGGGTAGTTTAGCCATTTAGAAGGATGTTCTTATTAACTGTAGCAAACTCTGCACTCAAAATAATAACATAACAGAAGTACTGACTCAATAGCATGGAAGATCAGGGATATGGATTGATGTAGGACAGTAAAGAAGTGTCAAAGACATATTTTTAGCATCAGTTTCCATGTTATCAGGAGGGACCAGTCCCTGGAGAAGGACACTATGCTTGGACAAGTAGAGGGTCAGCAAGAAAGAGTAAGACCCTCAGTGAGATGGATTGACACATGACTGCAACAATGAGCTGAAACATAGTGATGATTGTGAAGTCCCCGTAGGAATGGACAAGTGATTTGTTCTGTTGTGCATAGGGTCGTGATGAGTTGGAACCAACACAACAGCACCTAACAACAACAACAATAAAGAAGCATGGGAGAGGAGAGAGGGTATGTGGAGTTTTAAGCACTACCCAACTTGCTACACTACACCAATTGGGTCTTTCACACCTTGAGCAATGATTAAAGACTGTTGCTGTAAATGCTTCAATTAGGGCAGTATAGTTTCTGAGAGACAAAAGAATGTGAACCTTTACATACATGTGTATTCTTCTCTCTCTCTACTAATTTCTCAACAGTTAAGATATTTTTCCCTCTCCTAGCCTTCCACTGAGTGTATCTGTGAAAGGATTAATAGTACTTCAGGGATTTTTCATTAGAGATAACAGATTTTGGAAAAAGTACAATAATAGGTATTTACAAATATTTAGGAAGATTAATTCTGCTTATCGCATAGAATTGATGTGAGGATTGAATGAGTTAATTGAAATTTGGCAATTAAAACAGTGATTGGCACATGGTATAGCCAGTCAATAAATGGTATCCTCGTTTTTGTTATCATCATTATGTACATTTACTCTATTGAACACAATGTGGATTTCTAAGAGGAAACAAAAGCACTCATACAAAAGCACAATCTTCACTGTTGTTTTTTTCCTCCCCATGGTGTAATCAGTTCTCCAGAATGTTGTTCATTTATTATAGTTACATGGCTCAGGTGAGAAGAGAGTTTGTGCCACAGGACAATACTGCACAGACCTAACATGGTACTAGGTTAACATCTTTTCAATTAACTCTTTTGAAAGATACCCCCCATGTTTACCCTTCTTTCCATATTCTCATTTTAACCTTACACTTGCCATTTCATAATGTTTTGGAATAAAATGACTATAAATAAAGCTGGATTTTTTTTATTCACATAAAAATATTTATATGCATTTAGTGCACTTTTGTTGTTTAGAGATAAAATTCCTGCTTTAGGGCTTAGACATAAATTTAAATTAGCTGGATGTTTTTAAAGCTATTTTCATAGCTAATTAGTTGTGGTAGATTTTTTTTTTTTCCTCAAGGCTGTTATTTGACGATACTCCGTTTCAACAGAGACATGAAATTGAATTCTAATAACAATAAGTAATTTAGAGGCAAATTGTCTGATTTGAATTGTTGCTGTGGGAACAGAATGAAAATGTATGGAAAAATTCAATCTTCAATTAAAATAAATCCTTCAGTAATTTCATTTGCTTAAAAACTGTTCCAGAGGGAGAAAGGTCAGAATGCTAGCAAGTGTTAGCATGATAGTTGTTTGTTTCATAAAATGGATTTAAAATATGAACTAAGCATAATGCTGTGCCAGTAAGATCAATTTTACAATTAGCAAATGGTGCAAGTACGTAAGATATTCACTAATCCTACATTGATACAAGTAGTAAAGGATGATGAATTCCCTCTTACGATTCTGGAAAATGGAACTTTTATTCTCATTCTGACTGCCACTAATTGTGATCTGGAATAAAATATTTAATCTTTGGAAAAAAAAAATTCTAAGACTAGTTATATCATCACAACTATTTAATGACATTATGGATTTATAAAACAGATATACACATTTAACTTTAAAATTTTGATTCTAGAGTTAGAAAACTTATAAAAACATTTAATTCTGCTGAAATAACTGCTTCAAAATCAAATTAATACTTTTGAAAAGAATTTTTGCTTAACCTTGAGGCCAGTAGTAGTATTGAAAAGGTCTGTTTTAACTTAATATTAATTATACTAGAATGGAATGGGCATTGTTCTAAATTACATATATCAGTAAACAATTGAAGGAACATTTATATGATGGCTTTTTTCTCACTGATGAAATTAAATATTTCAAAATAATGGCAATAGTTACATCAATATTGTATAAATATGTTGATTATACTATATACTATGCCTTTGAACAATTAGAAATGTATCTTTATTTCTTCAGACTCTAAGTTAACATTGTCTTTCTATGTGATTATGTGATCTTTGGGAGCTCTGGTAGCGCAGTGCCTAAAACACTTGACTGCTAACCAGAAGGCTGGCGGTTCAAACCCACCAGCCTCTCCTTGGAAGGATGGTTGGGCAATCTACTTCTATAGTGATACTGCCCTGGAAACCCAAGGAGAGGTCGCTATGAGTCGGGTCTGACTTGTTGGCACATAACAACAACAACCACATGTGATCTTTGTCCTTGAACTTGTTTTTCCTAAATTTATTTTGTTGTTGAGAATAAATGAATTTATTTTGTAAAAATAAAGCAAAGTATACACCAATTCAGCAGTTTCTACATGTACAATTTAGTGACATTGACTACATTCTTCGAAATATGCAACCATTCTCACCCTCCTTTTCTGAATTGTTCCTCCCTCATTAACATCTAAAATTTTATCTTATCTTTTGTGTTGCTCTTGTCAGTTTGACCCCATATAGATAGTTCTTAAAAGAACATAAGAATTAATAAGCATAATGCTTAAGGCAGACTCTTTTCACTAGTTAAGCTAAACTGTTACTGTGTTTTTATCCTTGAAATTTTTAATGCCTGCTTAATAATCCGTTGAGTTACAGCACCTCATAGCAGAACATTTCAGCTATTTCCCATTTTTTACTATATGTGGATCGTAATAGAAGCATCTTTATGTAGTCAGCTTTTTTCCTCTTGCAAATTACTTATTAGGAGTTAAACTACTAGTGGGATAAATGGATTAAGAACATCAACATTTTTATAGCTCTTGCTATATATCAAGTCATTTTATAACTTCAGTACACAAATGAGTAGAATAGTTAGCTTGAAGCCATTTCAGCATTGAGATTTTACTAAAATATATTATGAAAATGATAATCAGTCATTTAAAATAGATTCATTTGGGCATATTTAACAAATCATGATGAATTGAAGCAATTGAATGTAGTTAATTTTTCATGTATAATTTTCCTCTTAAGAATCTCTACTGAAAGGAATGCCAACCCAGTCGATATATTGTAGATCAGTACCTAACTTAGGTGACAACACAGCTATATAGAAAACAGAATTCTTATTTTAATATACGGGATTGTTGTTGTTGTTATGTGCCATCGAGTCGGCCCCGACTCATAGCGACCCCTCCTTGGGTTTCTGAGGCAGTATTACTACGGAAGTAGATTGCCCCATCTTCCTTCCGAGGAGTGGCTGGTGGATTTGAACCACCTGCCTTTTGGTTAGCAGTCAAGTGCCTTAGTCACTATGCCACCAGAGGTCCCAAAATACAGGATAGTTACTGATAAATCCTATTACTTATTCAAACAGCTTTAGCTATATATTACTAAGCCCCTGCATGCTGAGACAGAGATAGTACATTAGAAAATACCAGAAAAACATTAAGAAACAATGTATGTCTAGCAGTTGTATTTATAACTCTGTAACATATCTATGCATTAAGATTTACAATCTTGCACACTAAAAAACAAACAAAACTCACTGCCATCAAGTTGGTTACTACTCATAGTGACCCCTCCTTGAGTTTCCAAGGCAGAATCACTATGGAAGTAGATTGCCCCATCTTCCTTCCAAGGAGTGGCTGGTGGATTGGTACCGCCAGCCTTCTAGTTAGCAGTCAAATGCCTTAGGCACTGTGCCACCAGAGCACCTGCCTTGTACACTAGAGAGTTTTCTTTCTCTTCAAATTATTTACAATAGCTTAGTAAAAGTGGTTGTCTCAAACTAAAGGGCATTTCTGTGTCCCATTTCAAGTTACGGAGAGTTGATTCTAGTTGGAGGCCAAGACTGAGTCATCATCAGTTTAAGGTCCTGAATCCAGTCTATTTTAAAGCCACCTTTTTGCTTTAGTCCTTTTTCCTATGAGACCAAAAGAGCATTGCACATAAATCAGATGAGAGAAAAGTCCTCAAAACAGACCTAAAATCCTTGTGGTCTTTCTGATAACATTAAAATATTTTAAAAGGTCAGTTTGATTATAGAGTAGCCCTACGGAATATATTCTTCCTGGGAAGACTCTGAGAAGATGTCTGGGTCCAGAATGGTCCTGGGAAATCTAACCAGCTTAGAGGCCATTTTTGGGTAAGAGAAATTACTTAAAGGCTCACTGAGGTATTTAGCTTGATTGTTGGCCATATTCTTCAGTCACCACAAGTGCAAACTAGCTTTTGATAATATTTTACATTTCACTATCTAATTCATTTTTCTGTCTGCCTTTGAAAGACTTGCCATAATGATTTCCTAACTTGTGCAAAGTAATATTTACATGTCCCAAATCCATTTTTAAATTGTAATTTAAGTGATATAACACTTTAAATTCTACTTATATATATGTAAAAAGCTTAACAATGTAATTGCATTTAATAAACTATGATAGCCAGAAAGAACAATATTATCTACATGCTATTCTTTCCTCTAGGAGCATTTCATGGAAGTAATTAGAAACCAAGAATTTGTGTTATTACCACCCAGTGAAATAGCAAAGCTCTTGGCCAGTGATGACATGAACATTCCTAATGAGGAAACAATATTGAATGCACTTCTTACTTGGGTTCGTCATGATCTGGAACAGAGACGGAGAGATCTCAGTAAACTTTTGGCATATATTAGGCTCCCCCTTCTTGCACCACAGGTAAACCTTTTTTGATTATTTAAAATCACTGTCATAATTCTGATAACATTTGAATATTCACTTTATGCTAATTGCTTTAATATGTACTTGTCTATAGGTTAATTATTTTTTATTTTCCTGTTCTATTTAATAAGGTAGCTTTGCATATATTCCCTTGGAAAGTGTAGATGAAAAGACTGGGAAGTAAAAAAAAATTCTGCTTATGTTCTCAACCCAGAAGGTTTGATAATCTAAATAGCATCAGTTAAGTAACATTAAAATCCAAACATTTTGGATTTTAAAGTGATTGCATTCTCATTCGGATTCCAGGGACCTAAGAACAGGCAGTGAGTTATGAAGCAGGGAGAGAACAGAAAAAGCAAAGGGGCCCGGAACAGATTGAGGAGTCAGCCACAGGGACCCAGGTGAGGAGAGGGAACCCAGGCCATGCCCCACAAGCAGCAAGGCGGGAAGCAGGGAGAGGACAGAAAAGGCAAAGGGGACTGAAACAGATCGAGGAGTTAGCCACAGGGAT